CGGTGTTGCTAATATCTTACACCAGTGTTCCTCACCCGTGGCAACTGGAGGTGTGGCCTCCGCCTCCAAAAATTCCCAAGCCAGCTTCCGGGATGGGGAATTCTGGGAGCTGAAGTCCACACATCAAGTTGCCAAGGTTGAGAAACACTGATATAGGATATTAGAAGCACTGGGCCAAGTCGTCCATATAGCCTGAAGATTAATAGAGTAGACATTGCAAAAAGAATCTCTGGAGATGAAAGGGAAACTTGAAAGATCCCCCAAAGCTAGGAAACTTTCATAAGTATGGAAGTAAAGGGTAAACATTCTTCCTCTGCATTTTATCTCTTTCCATATTCTGTTATACTTTTCCTATAACCTGTCAAGCTATAGCATGATGAAAATTGAGAGCCCAGCCTTCGAGTATCATTATGTAGGCATGGGGCTTCCAGATACATTGGGCAGCAGCTTCCGTCATGCCTCATTACTGGCTCTGCTAGCTAAGACTGATGGGATATAGCATCTGTTGTGCCACAGATTGCTCATCTCTGATTTAGGTGCTGGCTTAGTACACAGAAAGTCCAAAGTTTCCTTGAATCCTCTGAAGCTGATTGAACAGGCTTCAGCTTCGAACATGCAAAGTGGTGAAAACTACTGTATTCTTTAAGGTCCACAAGCAAATGACACGGCATCATCAAGGGAGGAGGCAGGTTTAGCAGGCATCACCCATTACCACCCCCAGTTTGAACAAGTACGTCTTGACTTTTCCCATTCATTCCTAACATTACAGTATGTACACTGTTCCTAAAATCAGACCTGGGAGCAGATATTATTCCTTTCTTGCCTAGAAGAATGTAGGTTAGGGTAGATGGAAACCCTGGAAAACTTTGCCTCTTCTATCTTGAGCAATGCAATTGGCTTTGTCCAACCATAGCTGTATGGCTAGTAGTTATACTTATTCCACCGTTTTGCCCTTTTCAGTCCTGTTAAAAAGCTTCCTCTCTTCAGAGGAAGACAAGGATGTAGAAAATTTCCTTGGTTGTTTAATGCTTTAGTGGATAAATGTATGAGGAATGTTTCTGGTAATGTTAGATTTATATGCTGATAATGCCATGCAGTCGGCTGAAAATCTCAGTAATTTGCAATGGATGTTAGATTGTATGATGAAATGAAGTGTACAGATTTGAAAATTAATGTACTGTAGTCCAAGACAGTTGTGTTTGACAAGGAAACAGAAAAATTACATTCATAGTGAAATAGTAGAGCAAGTACTATTACTAAAGCTGAGAAAATGGAGTCATTTTAAGACATGTAAATGCTGACTTAAAAGTAGTGGGTTATATGTGGCCTCCTGTTGCAAAGAAAGTTTGTTGAAAGAAGTGAAAACAGCTGTGTACAAGAATATGCTTATTTTGTTATATGGAAGAGACAGTTGGGTATGCCAGGGGAAACATAAAGATGAAATAGGTATTTAAGAAGTGTGTGCTTCTGTGTGTGTTAAAACAAAGAAAGGGTTGAGAACGAATGGTTGCTGAATGGAGGTGGCTACAAACATGAGTCACCAGTATGAGAAAGGAGAACTTTGAGATGGTTTGGCCTAAAGAAGGACTGATTTGCAAGACAACTACATGAAGGAAGAATGGAGGAGGAGGAAGAGTGTGACTGGATAGAATTCATGAGATCTTGAAAGAAGTGAGAATTATGAAGAACAAAAGGCACTCTATGAAGAGGTATAGAGTCATGGTGGAACCAGGGAAGATTTGTAAGGATAAAATGAACTTAATTCAAAAGGTCAACAATTCCCTAGTAATGCAGAGGCAAAGGGAAACTTCACAGTTTGATCACAAGAAGCGGAAACTACATCTTTGAAATCGCAGAAGCAATAACTAAGGGATTATAGTGAATTTAATTTCAGACAAATCTGTGTCCCAAGATCACCCCTTTAAACAGTCACAGGAATTGTGAATAGTGGGCTTACAGAAACTATGCTGGGCTTTTTAAAAAAAAAAATTAGCATGAATATAGAGGGATAATTGTTATGATTCTCACAGAAATATATACTGCAGGTATTTACCGAGTTTTAGGCTAATAAATGTTGTGAAAGCATCTGTGACGTTCCTTGTGGAAAAAACCACTTTGCACCGTGGAACCTAATACATATTATTTATTTATTTATTTATTCCATATTTGTCTTCTAAAATGAGAGGCCACAAGCGGCAAAAATCTCCACTGTGTAACACATTAAAATCACCCATGTAGTCTTGCTAATACCCTTTCGATATTAACAGCAATGTGAATGCTCTCAGACCATGTCCTCAGAGCCTGTCCCTGATTCCTGAAAACTGGACAAAGCATTGGTCCCTCCCCGACAGCAGTGGTGAACTTGTCCCTTTCTTCCCACTTCATTTTGACAAGCGATGAATTCATTGCTTGGCTTCCTGAAAAGCATTCTTGCAACATGGAATTGTTGGCCAAGGTAATAGTGCCCGAAAGGCTTCCTACTCACTCTGCAGATCTCGGAAGTATACTCTGTACGGATCAGAGCCAGTACGTCACAATCCCAGCAGAGTTCTACATTCCCAGGAATTACAAGCACTAATACCCACCCTAACTCATAAGGAGGGAAAGCCAAACATTTTGGCCAAAAAAGGAAGACCACTTTTTGTTACAAAACCTACTGATTAATCTTTCTTAGCGTAATGCTTGCCACCAGCCTGTGAGTTAGGTACGTCAAAAATGGTTTCTGCAAGACAGTTTAAACCTATTAGTTTAGTGCCTGAAAACTATGGTGTGCCTGATCTAACCATCAGAATGAGACACGTTCATCTCCCACAACACCACGTTGCTGGAATATGACAATTTTCATTGGCATCAGATTCTCACTATCTCTTCCACTGGCATTAAGTTCAGATCTTTCCTTCCACTCTGGTCCTTCCAGCTAGCAGCCATGGCTTTTTACTGTTCATAAAGCACCAAGCTGGTATGTTTTAAGTGTCATTACTGCATTTTCCATTCTTCAACACAGGGAACATTTTTGGAAGCTATGATGGAACCAACTGTGCATTCTACATTTTTCCTATATTAAGCTTCCCAAATAAATAATTGACATCCAGTTCTTATTGGTTACAGATGACTGTGGACCTTGAATGAAATTCACTGGCAACCAGAAAACATAGTGACTACCTCCAATATCAGCTAGATACACAAGACTCAGGATTTAGACTATGGTCCTGTAGCTACTTACATAGTATGGAATTAATAGCCACTGAATTCAATAAGATTCATAGAATTGCATTAATGTCCACTAATTTCAGTATTCCTCTCTTCCACTGTCTGCCAACAGAGTTCCCATAAATTCAAGAAAATTTTAATGCAGGGCACAAGGACATATGCACCAGCCTACAAAAACATGGAGATCAGCTTCATAATCCAATTGGATGGTACCTTAAACTCAAGAAATATTACAATTACCATGATGGATCCTTCAGGTTGTTGAGCCCCTAGAAAAAAAGGCTATCAATTACTCTCATCAAGTTACAATATGAAAAGCCCATAATTTTTTGACCACTCCATTTTCTTTTGAGGAAGAGTTTGTTTGAAAATAAGTGATATACCAAATGTTTTCCACATTTGTTTAAACAGCCAATTCATAAATCTGCATACATGCTATGCTTCCAGTACAAGATTTTAATTTTCTTTCTTGTGCTATGAATTCTCCATTTCCTGGAATTTCCATATTCTTATTACAGCAGTGACATTTTAAAAGATGTAGTAGGGAAAAAATAACATCTTGCATCCTGTTTTAAAAACAAAACTATACAACTTCTGGGTTTAAGCTGCAAATTTTCCTGCTATGCTACATACTGAAAATGCATTTCTTTCCAATTTCATTCCTTTGAATGTTAGCTTTCATGAGAATCTGTAATGCTTTGGAATCTAGAGTTGATAGTTTCATGGTGAACCGCAATTTCTGAATTACAGTCTCATCTAAACAACAATCCTGTTCATTCAGGAAGTAGGACTTAATTCATGGATCATCTTGGCCTCTTTTTGAATGCTTGAAAGGATAGACAAGTCACACAAAGAAGTTAATTGTTTTCCCTTTTTCTTTTTTTTTTTTGCAAAAGGCTTGTTTTCCTCCATCAGCACTGTATTTAACATATTGCACAATGTTTTGCTATAAAAGTGTCTTCTGCATCCGACAGAAAGAAAACAGTTTCTGAAGAAGGTGCTAATGGGTAGCATTGTCCGTCATTAGAGGTATGTGGTTGTTTAGGTGACCATCTTGAAGTTGGACCTGTCAGAAAAAAAGAGAAGTCATTTTTTCCTCATTCATGCATTTTGGCTTATTGTTGCTCAACTCCACCTATTCCTCTTCTTAAGAAAAATCATAAAACAGCTTTATTTGGAAGTGTTAAGAAGATGTATCACAGACTTTGTCATCATCTCGATATTGCTCCTGATGTTTATACTGACTTTAATTTATGCTATAAGAGCGCTGCTACTGGTTCCAGTGCTCCCTACAAACTCTATCATTTTATAAATGTCCCAATGTCAACTCTTGCAACCCTTCCACAAAGGCTACGGAGATGGTTAGGGAAGCACGAGATCCCTGAAAATTGGGATGCACTACCTTCCATGAGCAGAGCTGTGCTCCAAAAACGGCACCACTAGATTTTCAGGGATCCTTCCCTTCCTCTGGATTATAACCATATTCTGCTCTGCTGGCCCTCTGGGTAGCATTTCTGAGTGGGGCAGAAGGGAAAGTGGAGTCTTGCATAAAGCGAGATACAAACAAAGCCCTACGTGTTACTCAGAAGACACTTACAGATGTAGATTTATAAGACCCCAGTCGGAAACGGCAGCACATAATTTCCACTATGAATCTTCCAATGCTGTGTAAAATGCCTATAGTAAGAGAAGAAATTGAATATTTGGTGATGCTGTTTATTAAAAGGAAGCTTTTTGGGCACACGATTTATAGACCCAAAGAATATATCTATAATCTTGATGTGCTTTCCCCACTCCAGTGCCTTCTGGTTGCCTTTCAGACTCCAGTTCCTGTAATCCCAAACACTGTCTCCTTTTGGTTGGCTTGGAAATGGGGGAGCTTTTGATTAGACAAGACTGCTCTGTATTTTGAGCCATACATTGAAAACATCTTTAAAATACAGCTAAAATGTATATTTAGGAACTAGCCCTTAGAAATCTCTGAAATTCTCTGTGCTAGAATAGTGCTCCAAAAAGGAGTAGGAAACATGATCCCAGTGAAATCTTTATGATGTAGCATCTTTCAACTACAAATGGAAAGGAACTTAGAAAGAGTAACGATTACACTGATTACATTAGAGTGATAAGGGAAATGTAGTGGCTCAACTACACTGTGTAAGAAATACTATGGGGGGAGTGCAGTGGAATAGGGAACAGCAGGGAGGTGAAGTAAGGCAAATCTTAGACCGTTAGGATATGATGGGGGAGAGAAGTTGTGTGCTACACTGGATATTATGTTGGACTGCATTCTTTAAAAATTTCTGTCCTACCACAATGTCTCAAAATACAGGTAGTCCCCAAGTTATGTCCATTCGTTCAGTGACTGTTCAAAGTTACGATGGCCCTGAAAAAATGGACTTACGACTGGTCCTCAAACTTTCGGCCAACACAGTGCCCCCCCCAGTCACGTGATATTCAGGCCTAAATGCATTTATGACTACCTCCCCACCGCCCCACCGCTGGTATTTGTCATCTTCTTCACCTGGGAAGAGGCAGGATCCCAGGCAAGCAGGCCAGCGGGTGAGAGCTACAGATAGGGCGGTGGGTGAAGGCCACTGCCAAGGAGTGCTGCCTCAAGCCCCATGCCGTGGCAAGCCCCATGCTCCCTAGGGTCCACCCATGGCACTTGCCACCTGGCCCGTAACTCTCACCTGTCAGCCTGCCTTTTCCCATGTTGTAGTCACATGAGGTCCTCGCTTAACGACCTGCACGGTCCTGGGATTAGAACAGCAACTGGGACTGCCAAGATTTCACTCATTAAGTGATGTGGTCACGTGACATTGCACTTTACAACTGCATTGCTTAGCGACAAAAATCCCAATCCCAATTGCCATTGTAACCTGAGGACTACCTGTAAATTGTACAGGTATCATTGCTTAACAACTGCCCTGTTTAGTGACCATTCAAAACTACAACAGTGCTGAAAAAGTAACTTTATGACTGATCCTCACACGACCATTGTGTCCCCAAGGTCATGTGATCACCATTTGCACATTTCACAGCCGGCTTCCGATAAGCAGATTCATTGGAGAAGCAAGCACAAAATCACAATTTGTGGTCTTGTAATGTCTTGCTCAATGACCAAGTGGCGTAGTGACTTAGTTGCTGGTCCCAACTGTGGTTGTTAAGCGAGGACTACCTGTATTTAGATTTTGTGTTACTTTTGTAGCCAATGGTTTACAGACTTGCAGAACATGAGATTGGTTCCTCTTTAGAACTAAATAGCCAGAAAAAGGGTAGAAAGTGAGAGCAAGGAGGAAAGAGAGAGATACAAAGCGTGAATTCAAAGCACAAAGTGTACTTTGCTCTTTTGGAAATATAAGATGCTACAGACAGGGTTACAAATGCATATGGGTTTGGAATGGATCTTCTACGTCAGGGTTCCTCAACCTCAGCATGGCTGGCTGGGGAATTCTGGGAGTTGAAGTCCACCCATCTTAAAGTCGCTGAGGTTGAGGAAGCCTGTTCTAGGTCGTGCCCAGTCTTTGATTAAGGAGAACTTTTCTGTAAAATTAGTCCAGCTGACTTTGAACCGCAAAGAATTCAGACTGCAATGAAAAAAGATGCTTGTGCATTAGACAGTGATCACTGGTAGTACAAAGAGGCACAAACTATAACCTTTAGGTCCACTAACAAGTGTCTCATCCCTCTTGTTTTTATATTCTTGCACTCTAGTGTTTCATATTTGTAATAGATCAGAATATATGTACCTGTAGTAGAAAAAATTCCTCCAACTATGCCACAGAGTCTCACTAAAAACTGCCAGAAGGGCATGTGTTCCTCGGTCACGGTCACCATAAGGGAACTGATATCATATTTCATGAAAATTCCGGAAACCCCATGACTTCCGGCTGCATGGTTGATCACGCGTTCCTAGAAAAAGCAGCAGTAGGGAAAAATGAATCAGGTACAGTTTTGCAATATTAGATCCAAGACAAATGAAAATTCTGATCTACTTACACAAGGCAGAAAAGAAGAGTAACAGTCTGAATGGAAAAGGCATCAACGTGAACAATGAAATGTTGTCTACTTAAGATTAAAATGAAGACCTAAGTGAACTTTGCTTAAAATTTATTTTGGAAGAGCTGGCCTATATTAATGAATTTTAGGAAAAAGAAAAATCGGAAAGAAATTTAACCATGGACATAGATGTGCATCTGTTTATTGTAAGAGCACATATTTTATTTTTTTTATCATAGATAAAGGAAAACAGAACAGGAGAAAATAATGTCTATATTTCACATACCCAAAATATATTTCTAAAAAACAAACAAAAATTCATAGCCTTCCACTAATTGCTCTTTTTTAAGCAAGGACTTACCCTTTCTGTTACTGAAAACTGATGAGTTTCTGCTGAAATTTTGTGTGTTTGAAGTTTTGTTGGCACAACTGTAACAAAGTACTGGAACATCTGATTATCTGCAGAAAAAAACCCCAAAAAGGTATCAATTTAGACAAAATTCATCACACAGGAAAACAACAGTCTCAGCATAAGCCTACATTGTTGGTTTTATTCCATGTCAGACATTAAGTTTTAAAGCATGTCTAAAAATGGGATAAACTCATGTCTGATACAGCTGAAGTGGAATCACTGCTTCATAAGTTTCTCATGCCTTCATGTTCAGTTGTGTGAAAAAGTGAGTGAGCAACACATGACATATTATACCATGTCATCATTTATT